GGAGGGAAAAGAGGAAGGGCAGGAGGAGGAGGAGACATGGACGGCGAGGAAGGAGAGGACACGAGGAAGGGAAGGAGAGGAGGAGGCATGGAAGATGAGGTATATATATTTTGGGAGGGGGGACGGGGGGGCGTATGACAGGAAGATGGGGATATAGCGAGAGGAGGGGGATATGGAGAGGAGGCGGAGGAGGTGGACGAGGAGGACGACGAGGATATCGAGGACGAGGAGGAGGAGGAGAAGTAGAGATGGGGGACGAGAAGAGATGGACGGAGGGAAAAGAGGAAGGGCAGGAGGAGGAGGACGAGTGGGAGGAGGAGGAGACATGGACGGCGAGGAAGGGGAGGACACGATGAAGGGAAGGAGACGACGAGGCATGGAAGATGAGGTTCGAGGAGGAGACAAGGAGGATGAGGAAGGGCAGGAGGAGGACGAACAGGAGGAGGAGGACGAGTCGGAGGAGACGAAAAGGAGATGGGAGGAGGAGACATGGAGGACGAGGAAGGGGAGGAGGAGCGAGGTGAGGCAGCACCCCTGCAAAAAAAAAATTCATCCCAATTATAATTTTGGCGGAGGGCCTCAAACGCACCGTTTCGACCCCCAGCCTTCTTTTTTTTTTTCGGACGGGGGTGACGGGTCGTTCCCCACACGGGATCGGTTGGGCGCGTGCGCCGCACGTTGGGAACCGCCCGCACGACATGCACTTGCGAGTATGGGAAAATGTAATGCCGGGCTGAGCTACCTACCGGGCGGCGCGGGTCACCTTGTTTGACTGGGTGGCTCAGCTGCTTAATGACCAGGAAAGGGCCCAGCAAAAAAAAAGTAATAAATTAATAAAAAAATCCCCAAAACCGGCAAAAAAACTATGTTCTGCAGAAAAATGAACTGAACAACTTTTGCCACAGGGTCACATCCAAAACTTTCACCAAAAAAATAAAAAATAAAAGTTTTTTTTTTTTTTTTTTGGCCCGGCCTGGCAAGTGAACCCAGGCCATTCTGTTAGCCTAGATGCTGGGTGAGAAAACTGAGAAGAGAGCATGAAATTTATGAAAGAAATTGCTGGGCTGAAGCTATTCGTTGTTGCAATTTTTTTTATTTTTTTTTTTGTGGTGCACCACCTCTGGGAACATACTCACACCAGGACTCAGCTCTGGACATAATTGGTAATTGGTGTCCGATACATCCAGGTCAGGCTGTAATTCCAGTCAGATACATCCAGGAAATTCCAAGTGCTTGTTCTCTCTCACGAGATGTTGACCCCAGGACTTTTCCAAAGAAGCATTGGATGTCATTGCGGTCATTATTCAGTACTGTACATCCTGGGGAGAACGTCATGTGACGTAAGTGTGGCCAGGTGCATTCAGGAAAGTTCTAGTCTTTGTTGCCTCCTACCTGTAAACTTGCACAAAGTTCAGAAACAGGTTTTCCATCCAATCACTTCACTGCTGCCTTAACTAACCTATAATTATCAATTTAATATTTGATATTTAATATTTATAGAGGAAATCGAACCCAGGTCACCTTGGTTGCCCGTGCGGACGCCCTGCCAAGGGGCGCCAGGGAAGGTCCCTGTAAGAAAAAAGAAAAAAAAAAGTCCGGAAAAAAAAACTATGTTGTGAAGAAAAATAAACTGAACAACTTTTACCTCGAAATTATTTGCCGGAAAAAAAAAGGGAAGGATGATGTTCAAGGATCTCTTTTTGAATCATTTTTCTTATTTAAAAATTATTTTTAATTTGGCAAAGAATTTGGATGTGACGCTGCATATTTTTTTTAATTCCTCTTTGTCCCGGCCGGGCAAGTGGTCCCCGTGGATTGTGGTAATCATTTGTCAAATAATTTAATTTAATTAATTAGTAATTACTAATTAACTGATGGACTGGATTTTGCCCTGCAGCGGCCACAGTCATCATGGCTATATGTCCATTTCCTGAGGCCCATTGGAGCGGCTATGGCCACTCAGACTGGGCATGCATTCGATATGGTGACAGCTCTTCTCTTCCGTATCTTCATGCGGCAAATATTATGTTTTCCTTCTTCAGACGATGACCGTGCATGTGGGCGCAGCCAACCATCAGTCCAGGTAATCTGGCAAGCCCAGTGTAGCCCGGGAAGTAGAATCTAGAAGTTGTTGTTGTTGTTGTTGTTGTTGTTGTTGTTGTTGTTGTTGTTGTTGTTGTTTTTTCGCTTGTTTCCTTTCTAAGAAAAAAGTCAACGACCTTCAGATCTTATGATCACCGAACTGACCGGAGTTACTTTTCTTATCTGATTCGCATCAAAATTTGAACACAGATCTGTTGATCAACATTTGATGGGTGTTTACAGTGTTTAGACCTTTCTAAGTTTTTATCGTTCAGTCACATGGTAAGCGAGGCTGCCAGCCGGGGTGCCCGGGTCACCTTGTTTTGCCGGGCGGCCCGGCCGTGTGAGGATTAGAGAAGGTCCCAGCAAAAAAAAACAAACAAACTATGTTATGCAGAAAAAGAAACCGAAGAGCGAATGGCTGGTGGCTCAGTGGTTAGAGCACCGGCTGGAAATGCGCATTGTGGTTTGAGGTTGCGGGGGTTCAAAACCCCGCATCCATGCGCACATCCCCCGTTAGGCGCTTTCATAGCACCCAGCCATTTGCACGCTCCCCTTGGGACGACGCATGGTAAGTTTATACAGGCACTGCTTGCGCACCGCCCAAGGGGTCCTCGTCCATGGTTGTTGTATCCTGGGCTTGCGGGAGGGCTATTTCGGGGTTGTGTTTGCTCATGGTTGCGATGATCTCAGGTCTCTTCTAGTTGTTACTCCATGGGGGAGGGGGAGGTCCAGAGGGGTGCTTATTCAGGAGTTAGTTGATTGCTTGGGGTTAGACACAGGGGCTAGCTTGTCTGTGGAAGGTCTTCTTACCGTGGTATCTAGTCGCAGATATGGTATGGTCGCACCTATAGACGGACCCTGCTAGAATTGAAGGAACTGCTATAGACGGACCCTGCTAGTATTGTACATGCTATTGAATGAGCATTGAAGAACTCCCATTCGAACCCTGCTTGAACCTTGCTGGCACATAGCAAGTACTTGACCATAGTGTGATGACCCGACCAAACACGGACTGAGACACAGCTGATTTCTGAGTTTGCTCATGGACTGAATGCCTTGCTGAGTTTCCCGCTTGCTACTAAGTTCTGTAACTTTGTGTGTGTGCACGCTTGCTGGTCTGCATGTCTGTCTGAGTGCTTGTTGGCTTGAGTGTGTGTGTGTGACCCGCAAGGGCACTTGTTCGTTCGTTGGGGCCTCGGGGCTAGTACTTACCTGTGGCCGTGACATTGAGGATTGCAGCGGGGAAAACACTCAAGTGGCAGGGGAAGAGGCCCGCAACACTTGAAGCAGCGGGGAAACACTAAAGTAGCAGGTAGGCCGGTACCACATCCTCAAGAGGTAGATGTGCCAGGTACTTGAGGCCAAGCAGAAGAAGACAAAAGTTGGCATTTTAGAGGCCCAGTAGTTGTAGGCTAGGTCTAGGCGGGTACCAGTCCAACCAGTCTGAGTCTAGGGCCTGTACGGGCCTGTACGGGCAATATCAGAGTCTAGGGCCTGTACAGGCAATGATGTTTCCCTCCAAAAGGGAGGAGGTACCGGTTGATTGGAAGGGCGAGCGGCCTGGAAGTCACCGCCCAAGAGGCAAGCAGGCCGCTATATCTCCGGGCTGGGCGAAGAGCCTAGCCTCATTGTCGGTGTGCAAGTTTCCTGACACACTGGTTGAAGCGCTGGCTGGAGCAGCGCTAGCTTGGAGCAGCGCTGCTGGGGAAGGAGCAAGGACACGGAGGAGGAAGAAGACGAGGAGGAAGGGGGAGCGCCAGAGGTACTTACCTGGCTGTGGTGGCAGCCATCTTCATCACCTTGGTGGGCGCTGCAGCAGGAAGGTCCCCGTTGGGGCAGAGCTACGCCAAGAAGCTTCGAGGCAGAGTCAGGCATGGCGGCCTGAGCTAGAGCAGCCATAGCTGCTTTGGGTTCTCCTTTGGACAACAGGGCAAGGCCTAGTAGTCCGCCATAGCCTCGGCCTATGAGAGTGAAGAGTGAGAGAGGCGGCCATGGCTATGGTGGACCTCAAGTGATACCTGCAGTAGAAGAGGGATTCGGACATTGATTCTGATTCAGCCATTCAAAATTGTATTCTTATTTCTTGTGTGAATAAGAGCGGAGGAGATAAGGAGGAATAGAGTGTTTGGCGAAGAAGAAGAGCATTATCATTTGTCTATGCTGTTGTACATCATCCTTTTCTTCTCTCTTTCTTCTTCTTCTTCTTCTTCTTCTTCTTCTTCTTCTTCTTCTTACCCTCTCTCTCCCCTCAAGTTCATTCATTTCTTTTTGCACTTGGACGGCATTGTACTATCTGATGAATGTGTACTTCGAAATTGGCCGGGATCATAACAATAGTATAATATGCGGGCCCAGAGAACCCTAGGTCTCCTACTCCCTGCCTCTCCCTAGGGAGGCCTCTCTCTAGCCGTCTGGGTACCATGGGTTTCCCGGTTAGAGGGGGGCCTTCATAATGGAGCGGAGTCACAGTGGGTAGTATGTCTAGGTGTGTTCCCCCTCGTGTGCGTCTCGAACCACAGGGGTAAAAAGGCTGTCTCATCTCATCTCAGCAGTGTGGGGGGGGGGAGGGGTACAGGAACCTTGTTGTGGTTGGTAGGGCTGAATGGTTCGGGTTGCTTAATGGGTAGTTCACCGTTCGAAGGGAGTAGTTGAATCACATACAAATTGGCCTCATGGGCCCCTACGGAGACCGCATCGGTAGTTGGGAAATCGCATCGTAGGTAGAAATACTACCTGGGGTACTCCAAGTAGTTGGTGTCTGCCTGATGACGAGTAGGTGCGAGTCGATGCGTGTAGGACCACCTAGCTGGCTGGTCGTCTCTAGGACTGTATAGACATTGGGGCACTCTCATAGCCCCGCCATCAGGGTCCTCCGGCCCACCCGGGACCAGTAAAGGGTAGGTTATGAGATGGGTATAGCGGCTGGAGGGACTAATAGAGAGGATACGGATAAAGTGTAGCTCGGGTAGGACTTGTATTGTATTCAGCCTGTCTCCTGAGTAGTGGGTAGGATAGGTGGTTTGGGGGCGGTGGTGTATTGTACATTAATAGGAGGGAGGTAGGCCCTCTACGCCTGTCCGAGGGGGGATCTGCTAGGGATCTGCTAAGTCAATGGTTCGGGGATAAACCTGCTTAGAGTGGACCCGCAATTCATCCAGTTGGAGGTTGGATCTGTAGGGACACAATCTGATGTGTGGTGGCAAAGCTGTATGGTGTGGAAGGGACACGACTTGCGCTGGGACGTAGGGCTCTAGGCCCGTAGAGGACTCCGTCTGGGAAGGTCCAGAGGGCCAAGTGGGTCATTCTGAACTTCCAGTGACTGAACCCCGGAGAGTACTCCCACGCACGATACCCTGCCTCTGCAACGTGTGGGAAAATAGCAGGCCTCGTGGGCCCACCCGAGGCCCGCTATTTTCCCACGCGGCAAAGGTACTAGTGGTTTAACACCCATACTAGCGGTTTAACACGGGTGTTAAACCACTAGTACCTTTGCCGCGTGGGAAAATAGCGGGCCTCGGGTGGGTTGCCGACCTTTTTGGAGGCCGAAATGAAACGATGGCCGCCGATCAGATTTATCAATGGAAGCCGTCGTCGGGCCTGGCCTCCGAATTTTTAGGAGTTTGGGGAAACTGCACTTTTCCCTATTTTCCCAACACTGTTGAGGTACTAGTGGTTAAAAAAAAAAAAAAGGAAAAGAAACTGAACAACTTTTGCCTCAGGGTCGCATCCAAAATCTTTGCCAAATTTAACATAAAAATTAGATTTAAAAATATTTTTTACTTATTTATTTTTGGCCCGGCTGGTCCCGGGCCACTCTGGTAGCTTAGATGGTAAGCCGTTTTTTTTTTAATATAAAATTTATTATTATTATATTATTTTTAAAGAGTGTGACAACCTTGAGATATCATCATCAAACTGCCGGCCCCAGGTAATTCAGATTGATTTTGTCGTATGAGAATGTATCTGATTTTGCACCAGGTTTCGAGCTCAGGTCTGTCTATCAACAGTTGAATCAGTTGATGGGTGTCTTACTATGCAGCCGCTTGGTAAACTGTGTTTTTTTTTTTTAACTTATATTTTAAAATTTTAATACTTGTATAACTTGTAATTAATACTAATTATGATTATTGAAACAGTTTTCACCTTTGGCAGTAGCCGATGCAGATCCCAGCGGTCGATCCCTTGACCTCAGCTTACCTGTGTACAGTATCTGCACAGTTCCCTGGAGTTGAACCCGTGACCTGCACGATAGCCAGTGGTAAGTAGGTCGCCGTAGGTTGTAGGCTGTAGGGAGATTCGAACTGTAGACCTGTAAGGTAGGAGTCCAAGTAGAGTCCGGAGGCCTAGCTTTAGTCCTTCTAGAAGGTCGGCAAGTGGTCAAGTGGTGAGTCTAAGGTGGGCCCACGTTTTCAGACGAAGACAAGTGGCAAGGTCAACAGGTAGGACCTCAGTGCAACTGCACTGAGTCGACGGTACGACTGCCTACAGTCAGCAGAAGGGTCTAGAGAGTCCCAGTCCAGTCCAGCAAGTACCACAGGGGGACTGTGAGCACCAAGGGCCRATGGCAAAGGGCAGACCAACGAATTTCTGAAGTATAAATCAAGAGGCAGCGCCCAGCCATTCATTCATTCCTGCGTGAGCCATGCGGAAGCGCTGCCACAGCGACTTGTGCAAGGAGGTCTGCAGATGAGCCCGGAGGACGCAGTGGGCAAAGAGGAGGAGTTAGCATAGCGATAGGTTAGAGGCAGCCATAGCTGCCATAGCTATAGTTAGTAGTGAGTGTGTGTGTGTGCTCGAGTGTTAGAGTGATGCGTGTGGGATATCCAGGGTGATCCAGTGTATGTGAACAGTGAGATGTTTGTGCGCTGAGGTCGCCATAGCCAATTGGGAGTGAACTCGTATCTGAAAACCATATCTCTGAGTTTTGAGTGGGCGCATGCCGCCAGTGTGCTGCGTTACTGTTTACATGTGTGAAAAGTGTGTTTGAAAACGAGTCTGATTGCATTATTAATTTATTATTCTATTATTATTGTCGTGTCCAGTAAGGTAACTGAGGCCAGTTTATTGTTATCAGTTAAAATGTTTGTAGACTGTGTACCATTCAGGCACAAGGGAGCGGCACAGGTTATCTATTCGTGAAAGAATGTGGACTTAGAACAGAGGCGAATACAGGTCACATATAAGAATAGCAGGTCATGAATCTTACCTGGAAACGGAACCAAATACAGTAGAGAATGTATGAATGTGGCACAGATGCCTAGAAAACGGACATTTAGCAACCAACTTTGTCCGCCACACTTCCTCCTGCTTGTTCGGGTAGGGGTTGCGAATGTGACCTGGAATAGAGCCAAATGCACTACAGAATGTCTGATGGGGAAAGACCGATTTTTGAGTTGTTCACTGTTAATTTTTGGGTTACCAGCAGTGTGGTCCAATATTTTACTCCAAAATTTTTGGACACTGGACAGTAAAAAAATCTGAGCTGTTCACTGTAAGTCAGTGTACGATGTAAAAGAGCCACGCCACATTGTTGACGACTGTTCACGGTCCATTTTTTCTTTCTTTCTTTCTTTCTTTCTTTCTTTCTTTCTTAATTTCTTTCTTTCTTTCTTAATTTCTTTCTTTCTTTCTTAATTTCTTTCTTGCTCTGCCTGTGATCAGTGTGCTGATCGGACGGTGACTGCAAGAGGACACGAACACGCAATGGAGAGAGGAGTGGCCGAACTGATGTGCAGGTACGGGCGCGAGGTTGAACTGCAAATCTGCGGACTTTGGGAATCTGCTTATGGCTTGCTTCCCTTGGATAAGTCCACGGCGGCCCGTTGGAAGTTGCCGATAAATTTTTCCGACCATCTCCACCGCCGCCTGGTTCTGCTCTCCTGGTCGTTGTTCCGGCCTCTGCTGCAAGTCCTCGAGTACCTGCCTCGAGGGAGCGCTTCGGAGGGGTGCGTAAGGCGCATATTCTCGGCAACTGCAAGAGCAATTTTAGATCGGACATTCCCGGTTGATGATGTTGCACAAGGCGGTGTTGCGTTGGCCGGACAGAATGGCAAGCGAGGAATCACCGAAGATGCAGCAAATAGTCCCACACATGAAGCGAACGACTCCACGAGGGCGGAAGTTGACGGGAGGGAAGAGATGCGGGCAATGCTGCGGTGTCTTTTCTCTGAGGCTTGCCTGTCATGTGACCGAGCTGCTCAGCTTTTGTCGGATATGTTGGCAGCATGTCTTAGCCACGATAACTTGCTCCTAAAATCAAGTCAAGTCAGAAAGCAGAACCAGGCGGCAGCCGATAGCATTGGGGACGCGGTCGGCCCGATGGAAGCACCGCCGGAAAGGATGCCCGAGGAAGTTACCCGTAATCTGAATGGGAGGAGAGGCAGAGACAGGGGCAGGGGAGCCGTCACTGCGATCCACTCGTATATCGTCACAGCTGTTTCTGCGTTGGCGTGTGAAGTTCAGCTTACGTCCTCCATTACGACACTAAGGTTACCTCGGCGAATGAGCGCCACCGGGGTTCGGACAACGGGGCCTAGTGCTGTCCAGCAGACCGACGCCAGCCGTCAGGCCCAGGAGCGAAATGTTGGGGCTCAAGGTGGATATGTCTCCGTATCTGGAAACATCCCTGCTAGCGAAATGCCGCCGGCAGCAATATCTGCGATGCACACGCAGGAGTCTGGTGGCCATCACGTCTTGGTGCTTCTTGAAAGGCTGCTGTCGCAGACACCACGGAACATCAGTGGAGGCGAAAGCAGGGGAATCGACAATTCGCCCAGTGATGCCGTCACAACAGCAGCAGTTGCGGTGCATGTATCGGAGCTCCTGCGAGGGTCTCGTACATGCATGAATGCACTGGTCACAATCATGCGCTCCTGTCCGAATACAGCAATCGGTGCACGCGCACAATCAGTTATCAAGTTGATTGAGCGAAACAGCCGGGCAGCAGCAGCAGCAGCAGCAATTGCAACTGTGGAAGCATCAAGACAGGCTGGTGCTAAAGTGAATGGGCCACGTCTTGAAGACCATCTGCCCGTTGCTGACGAGCAGGCGTTTCAAGAGAATTGTCAGAAAACTGGCAGGGTGCAAGGAGGTTCTCGGTTGGGGGAGGGGAAGAGAAACGGGCAGTGTGAAAGTCATAAACAGAGCAATCGAAGCATGATGAATATCGATACAGCCCTGCACACGGACGGCCACACGGGCGTCGGCACGGACCAGTGCACGGACGACCGCATGGACCACCACACAGACCAGTGCACGGATCACGGCACCGACCACCACACGAACGGATGCACAGATCAGCACATGGACGACTGCAGGGACCATCACACGGCCCACTGCGCAGACAGCCGGACCGATCACAGCACGGACGATCGCATAGACGACTTCACAATTCGCAGCACGGATGACCGCACGGACTCCCACCACATGGACCACCCCACGCATCACGGCATGCACAATGACCGAGAATTGCGTGGAGTCGGCGACATGGTCACGTGCGATTGCCCCATGGACGTGGTTGAAGTAGGTTCGCAGTTGCAGGCGGCGGCCGAGGGGAATGTGCAGACCAGAAGCCATGAAGGAAACCATGGGAACATGGATATAGAAACAGATCATGAGGATAAGCATGACAGGCAGGTGAACCTGGAAAGAGTTCGCAAGCAGAAACTAGTGGATGACAATAACCAGGCCCTGCCACCAAGGAGGCCCTATCAGGGAGCAAGGTTTCTTCCGCTCGATGCGTCAGACATGGTTGGCCTCTTCTGCCAGGCTCAGCAAAGTGGTGCGACCAGGAACAGAGAACCAGCTGCTGCAGGTTGGAATGAATCTGATGTCTACGACAAGTCCTTGTTAATATTATTAGTGAGGGAGAAGCAGACACTCGCGCTGGCAGCAATTCCCCTTCTCTGGCGTCGTCTGATCACTATCCCTGAAGCTCCTACAAGTACGGGAAGCACCTCAGCCTGTCTCTTATACACATCTAGATGTGTATAAGAGACATGCTTAGAGTGGACCCGCAATTCATCCAGTTGGA